ACATGGTGTCTCATGTTGGTGCCTGTGCTGCTGCTGTGGCTGTGGAAGCTGGTGAACTGGGTGTGGCTGAGGCCAAAGAGAATGGAGAAGCTTCTCAGAGCACAGGGTCTTCAGGGCAATCCCTACAGGCTCCTAGTTGGAGACACAAGGGAAATGTTTACAGTGCTCATGCAAGCTGCAAAATCTCAACAATCCGTGACCTTTCCCTCCAATGACAAGGACGTCGCACCGCATATCACAACCTTTAACCATCATATTGTCCACAAATTCGGTACCACCATGCATCTTTTTTCCACTGCTTAATTAGTCTTTTGCGTTGTCTGTGATTTTCATCTACAATATTCATTATCTTATACCAACATAGCACGTGTTTGTTTCACCGTAAGAAAACCTTGGATGTACTTCTGAAGGAAAAGACATATATACATAGTATTCTTTGGTGAGAGTTCAGACCTTCTGAATGGTAACCCAGATGAAGAGACCTGAATGTACTTCTGTAAAAGGTTATTATTATATGTAATATACGAATATATCTACGTTTAGTTTTTGGTTTTGCCTTCGATAAGTTGATCATGTATGTTTAAGGATTTTATTATAAGTAGATGAAAAGCATTGGTTCTTATTTTCTAACCATGTCATTCTTGGGAGTATCATGATGATTAATTTCTGTGAAATATCTAGTCATTTCATATCTTTCCTTCCTCCCGTTTTATATTTTGTTTTCAAAGTTCAACAAAATATTATTAAATATAAAGAAAAAATTTATTTCAAGAAGAAATTGTAGCAACACACCTCACCTCACCTCTTTTAAACATATTGAACTTTTTTTTTTTTTTTTTTTTCATATCTATTTCTGTTCATTTTATTTCTAACATATGTTTTGAAAAACATGGGCAGGCAAAAATTCATTTGTATGGGAAGGTCCAACACCAAAAGTGATCATCATGAATCCTGAGCAAATCAAAGAAGTCTTCAACAAGATCCAAGACTTTGAGAAGCCCAAGTTGAGTCCCACTGTCAAATTGTTGGGTTCTGGACTTGCAAATTTAGAAGGGGATAAATGGAAGATGCATAGAAAGATTATCAACCCTGCTTTCCATTTAGAAAAACTGAAGGTTATATATATAGTACAGAAATTTATGATGTTTGATAAGAAGTGTTTAAAAAATGTGTTCTGTGTATACTTTAACTGAAAGTTCTGTACTCAAAATATGTTTTCATTACGTATCATGCAGGCTATGTTACCCATATTTTTTGAATCTTGCGATGATATGATTTCCAAATGGGAAGCCATGCTCTCTTCAGAGGAGAAATGTGAAATTGACGTATGGCCTTTCGTTAAAAATTTGACCTGTGATATTATTTCGAGAACAGCATTTGGAAGCAGTTATGAAGAAGGCAGAAAAATATTTGAACTTCTGCAAGAGCAAGCTGGACTTATCATGAGATTACGAACAGCTTACATTCCAGGGTCGTGGTAAGACTTCAAATACAAATGTCATCAAAATTAAGCAAATATATTATTTTGTTCTTTTGTATATGTAACAGCTATATTACTAAAACTGAATGAAGAAAAAGAAAAGGAGGGTAAAATATCCTTTGTCTCCTTTTCTTTCAAAACCTCACTGGTTTTGAATACTTTAAGCCAGCTAGTTTACATGGACCTTGAAAATTCAAGAGATTTTGCTCAAATGGCTATGCATGTAGATGTAAAGTATGTTGGTTAGTTTTGGAACTAATACATGTTACATTCACTTGCTAATTAATTTGAAAGAGTACTTATATGATCTATTTTGCAGGTTGTTACCAACAGCTAGAAATAGGAGGATGAAAGAAATTGATACCAACATACGAGGATTACTTAAAGGTATCATAAACAATCGAGAGAAAGCAATGAAGGCCGGTGAAGTTTTAAACAATGACTTACTGGGGATACTTTTGGAATCAAACCATGCTGAAATGCTAGAAAATAACAGTAAGACCCTTGCAATGACTAGTCAAGAAGTAATTGAGGAGTGCAATGCGTTCTACATAGCAGGGCAAGAAACTACAGCGGTTTTACTGCTTTGGACAATGGTGTTGTTGGGTAGGCATCCTAAGTGGCAAGCACGTGCTAGAGAGGAAGTGTTGCAGGTTTTTGGTAAGCAAAAGCCAGACTATAATGGGCTAAGTCACCTCAAAGTTGTAAGTATCACTTGGTTTTTCACTTTTGTGATATAGCTAAATTAATATTAACACATGGCATGTGCTTTTGGTGTTGACTCTTAATAAATATATATCTTTCTTTGCCATAGGTGACCATGATTTTATACGAGGTTCTCAGGTTATATCCACCTTTAGTTTATTTCAGTCGATGTACCAAGAATGATGTCAAACTTGGAGACCTTTCTCTACCTGCAGGAGTGCAAGTTTCCATGCCAATATTGTTGATTCACCAGGATCGTGATATCTGGGGTGAAGATGCTACTGAGTTCAAACCAGAAAGATTTGCTGAAGGAGTGGCAAAAGCAACAAAAGGCCAAGTTTCATTTTTCCCATTTGGAGGTGGTCCCAGAGTGTGCATTGGCCAAAATTTTGCTCTACTTGAAGCAAAGATGATTTTGTCTTTACTTTTGCAACGTTTCTCGTTTGAGATTTCTCCAACCTATGCACATGCTCCAGTCACTGTGTTCACTCTTCATCCAAAACATGGGGCTCATATCATCTTACACAAGCTTTAGTGTCATCCTTGTGGACTTCACGTCAAAATAATCTCCATTCAGTTTTCTGTAATGATCTTGTGGTTTCAGAGGGTAAACTTCTCACAACCAAATCTTAAAACTACGTTCTTATGGTATGTCAATAAGACACTTACCGTCTTCTGACATAATTAATGATGTTATGATTTAAGATTTGACCTTCAAGAAAAGGTTTTTCCTCATTAAATACAAGATATTAACATAGAAATGAATGGGAAGATTTTACAAAACAATCTTGTATTAAAAGTCTGTATCTTTGTCCACTATCTTACATTCATATAAAAATAGTACATCAACTAAATTTCCCTTTCAAACACTCTATGGGATTAGTCAACCATTCGTAAAAGAAAAGTTCTTTAAATTATCCGACGTCAACCAAATCCAATATCTAAAATTAACCAAGCCAAGAACACAATCAGATTTAGAGACCACGTGATTAAAAATAATATTCATCAACTATATTGATCGGATGATAAATATAGATTCAAACAGTATATAATATAAGTGAAATATACAATATAGATTAATATATATATATATATATATATATATATATATATATATATATATATTTGTATAGATTCCTTTAGCAACTGATATTAACCATTTAAAGTCATTAAGTCACTTTTATTTTATATATATATATAGTTTACATGAAAACATCTACATGTTTAAAGGAATCTATGAAAGAAGATCTAAATGATAAATGGAATAAATCAATTCATGAACTAAATATAAAATATAAATAATCTACCTAAAACAAAATTATATTATTACACATCTTTTCATGAATCAATATTTACGATGAGAAATATAGTATAGTAAATCTTGAAAATAAAATAATATATATATATATATATAATATTTTTTTTAATCGATCTTTTAATATTATTAGATAGAGAAAAACAAAAATATTACAATTTAAATAAATAAAACTGTTATTATGACTAGTGCAAATACATGTGCTAAAACATATGAGTATTCACATTTTTTGTATAATTTTTTTTAATTTTATTTTATTTTTTCTTTTCATTCTTTAAATATGCCTACTTTTTTCTTTTTCTCACATTTTTATTATTTTTAAATATATAAGTCATAATAATTATTTTTTTAAACTATAATACTTTTTTTCTATTGGATGATATTAAAAGAACGATTAAAAAAATCTTTTTTATATAGAGTTATATATATATATATATATTATAAATTTATGTATTTTAAAAATAGTAAAAATACGAAAAGAGTAAAAAGTGAAAAAAGTAAATATATTTTAAAAATAAAAAAATAAAATAAAATTTTTAAAAATTATATAATAAAGGTATGTATAAATAGAAAAAATGCATACAAGATTTGGTTCCCAATGAAGGTATCGTTACAATCCTAATAAAAATTAATAATAATTACAATCCTAATAATAGTATAAAGTACATATTAATTAATCAATTACACTATTCATAATCTAACATGATAATTAAGTTGAACTTAGAAATAAGACACTAATACTACTAAGAATAGAAAAATCTCATTCAACTAACCAGGAATGTTTAATTGATGTTGTAACGAGGTTAATCAACTCAATATACTTCAACAAAATCATATAGTTATAATTTATATTTCAAAATTATAAAAAATACTGCTTTTAAAATCATTGATAACTATATCTATATAGTAAAAATCATACTATTTCAAAACTTTTAGATAAAGAAAATAAAAATATATTAAAAACTCTAATTTTACACATCAAGCCTTTTATATATGCTTTCACACATCAGCCTTTTAATAAATAAAATATTACGAAAAATGAAATAGAAGAAATAGTAGGATATTATAGTAAAAGTGTTCAATTTATTAACTGATTTATTGATTTTATTTGATACGCAAGGAACGGAGATAAAAGTAAAATAAAAAAAAAATAAAAAAATTCAGAGTAACTGCTCGTAACTTCTCCTAAATTATCTCCAAAGAACAAGAGACAGGGATAGAATTCACTTTGGTAACTTCCATACTCTTTTCCTTCACAAACTCAAATCTTTAACATCCTTCTTCCTTATAACTCTCTTAAAGATACTCTCAATACTTAGATGCTATCTAGACCAAAGATTCTTCTCTCTCTGTCTTTGCATGCACGTACATGACTATATTTCATGCTTTTTCTCTTACAATTTTTTCCTTCTGCTTCTATTTCATGTCTACTGTACCATTTCTTCTATTATAAGTTTATTTAAATTTTCATTTTCGTGTTGCAGGTTATAATTTGTTACGATGGCTCCAACCACCTACTTCAACTGGGACACTATTCAAATTTCAAACCCCTTCAATGAAGTCATGCAGGAAGAAGTAACACCAAACCTTCAACACCTTTTCTCCTACTCAGATGAAAGCCCTTTTCTTTCAAACGGGCTTTTCGAGACAAACATACACCCTTCAGATATTCACCCTCCTTATGATTCCTTTGTTTCTCTTACTCATCCTGACAGTTTTCCAATTCAAGAAGATTACCATCTTCCACCATGTCCTAAACGTCAAAAGCTATCCCATGAAAGAGAAATCCACTCCTCAACTCAAGACTTTACTACACAAACAGTGCTTCAATCCGATTACGTAGAGGGGTTTGTTGTGCCTTATGATAATTGTTATTCCTCGCATACAGAGGAGCTGAAACAACACTTCTACTGTGAGTTTCCACCACAATGTGTGGATTTTCAGTTTGAGAAAAAAGGAAATGAAAAAACCATATCTCCACAGAGCGTAGCAGCACGTGAAAGAAGAAGAAAGATCGCTGAGAAGACCCAAGAGCTTGGGAAGTTGGTTCCTGGAGGACCAAAGATGAACACAGCTGAGATGTTTCATGCAGCTGCAAAGTATGTGAAGTACCTTCAAGCCCAAATTGAGATGCTGGAACTCATGCACTCCCTCGAGGTAAATGTTCATTCCTTGACATATTTTGAATCATGCGGATCATAAATGATGGTATGTTTTATTTCACTTGAATTTTTTAAATACTTTGTTAACCTTAACTCACGATGGAAGTTCATGTCACAGTTTTAAATTAATGTTTAGTAAATACAAAGTTGAAATTTCTGATTATTAGAGAGTTTTAAGGAATCGATTAGAGGAAGAGGATATGGTGAAGAACTTGAGAGGAAGAAATAGAGAATGAGTTTGTTATGAAAGTGTTTTGGTAATTGTAGGAGAAGGAGAAAGCAGGAGTTGGGTCTGAAACGCTACGGGGTCTGGTTGTGTCTCCGTTTGTTGAAGAGAAGTTATACAGAGAGGAAAGGTGCTTGGTGCCAACACAAATCATCAACACATTCACAAATCTTCAACATCTTCAATCAAGCCCCACCATCCTCCACGATCTTAAGCACCTTCTCATTGCGTCAAACACTGAGAAGAAAGCAAAGCAAGAATGAATCTTCACAACATTCATCATCTCTTCTGTTGTTGTTTGCATTTTATCTATTTTGTTGATGTTGTGTTAGGAGTTTAGAGTTTAATGGTACATTAAATATTAATTTTGATAGCAAGTAGTTACATTGAATATTATTTTTACTCTTTAATTAATATGGAACACTTTTAATAAAATTATACATTAATTCGGTTGATATTTCTAAAAATGTTGTTTTCCCTTTTATTTTATATATTTTTCTTGATAATTTTTCAAATCGATTGTCATTTTTTTCTCAATACAATAATTACAACTTTGTTCTAATATTATCTTAAATAAATATTCACAATAATATATTTTTTTAATTGTTAGTCACATAGAGATTATTTTGCTAAACAATGATTATTGTATTGCAAGCTGAAAATTAGGTGGAATATCAACCTTTTGTATGTTATGTATTTATAAAACATTTATCATTGATTAAAAAAACCTTAAAAACAATACTTGTTCAGAATTTATATATTTTTGGGTAAAAAAATTTGTTTATATATATATATATATATATATATATATATATATATATATATATATATATATATATATATATATAGATAGATAGATAGATAGATAGATAGATAGATAGATAGATAGATAGATAGATATGTGTGTGTGTGTGGTGTTTAGAAAGTTTAAGAGTGCACTAATTACTTTTTAATCAATTATATACCTTTTTTTTAATTATATTTTTTTATAAAGTGAGAATAAATAAGAAGTTACTTAAAAGTATTGTTATTTAAGAGAGAATATTAAGATGATAAAGGTAGAAGAGGAAAAAAATAATAAGAAATAATACTTATTTTAGTTTGTGCAGATAAACCTTAAACTTCATATACTTTTAAAATAGATGGAGTATAAATATTGAAATAGAGAAATAATCAATATACCTAAGTTATTATTAATAACTTTTAAAATTCTTTTTTATTTTATTCATTAAAAAATAAATACACATTCTCGTTGTATTTAGCAGGTAAAAACAAGTGAAAACAAATCTAGTATTACATAAAAAAATTATCAAATATGTCTTATAAAAATAGTCGTTTAATTTTAAATTGGATATTCGTAAATAAATGTATAAAATTTAAAATAGTTCATATATAATTGAAATGATTATATATATATATATATATATATATATATATATATATTACCAATTTTAGCTAATAATTTAATAAATAATAGTGAAAATATAGATGTATCTGTGTCCAAATTTTTTTATAATAATATTTTATTTTCTCTTTTTATTCTTTAATAATTTTTATTTCTTTTCTATCACAAAAAAAGTGATTATAAAAGAAATCTTCTTATAATTACTTTCTTTTAAAATATGGTTTTATTTTCTTTTTTCACTTTTTAAGTATATTACTTTTTTTCTTTTTATTATTATTATTTAAAAAAAATATATAGATTATAGTAACCGTTATTTTTAAACTATAATACTTTTACATTTTCTTTCTTGGATAATATCAAAAGAAATCTCTTTTATATATAATTATTATGTATAAATATGGGTTTAATATATTTGTATATGAAAAAAAATACAAAAATCAAATAAAACATAATTTGAAATAATTAAAAATTTATTAAAACCTCATTATATTTTTAAAATATTCATGATAAAATAAAATTTATAAGCAATCTTAACTATAACAGAAGTCACCAAGGGGCGGTTTCATCACTACTGGTGTACAGTTGCATTGATATAAAAAATAAATATAAAATTTATAATTCTGCAACGCATTCTCATAATTTTAGAGTTTTACTTGTTAATTGTAAATACTAAGTAATTCATTTTACTTTGATAAACATCTTTTTTATAGAAAAAAAAACTTTTTTTTATATTTATTTGATGAAATCACCAAGATTTCGATACAGCAAAAGCAAAGATAGTCTGTATGTAGTCATCTTCGTAGGATGAAAAGAATTTAGATGATATTTTTATTTATTTTAAAAAAATTCTTATTTATTTAAAAAAATAATAATTAGTTTGAGTCTTATAATAATTAATAGAATGATAGTTTGACAGAGAATTCAAGCTTATTATTACAAGGTCTAATAGACAAAGAAAAGAGAAGTAAGTTGTAAAGATATTATGATGTTTAAATAAGAATAATAATAATGAAACAATCACTATATCATTTATAAATAATAAAATAATTCTATGTATAGATTTTTTACCAGGAAGTTCTAAAAAAATTGTTCTAAATGTTTCAGTCTCAATAACATTCTTTCGTGTTTAATATATTAATTATTTATTTTAGAGTTTTTATTCGTTACGATTTTGTCCGTATAAGTTAAGAAAGAATAATACACGCGAGACTCGTAAACATATCACAATAATTATTATATTAAGAATATTTTTATTATTATTATTATTATGTAATAAATATGAGAATAAGTTATTGATGTAAATGAGCCTCTCAAATCTTTTGAGAATCAAGTTAGATATTCAAAACTATAAACTTTGCAGAGAAATTCTATCAAAGACTACACAACTAATTTAGGACATGTATGAGTAAATACTATAAACGAATAAGATTAAAATAGTATTTAATGATATTACAAAATTAATAAAACATAATTGGAAGAAATATTACTAAAAACAATTACTAGATGTTTACAATAAATTAATAGGTAAAACCCTAATGTTCTGAGAATGCGTTGCAAACATTTAAAATCTATATTTATTGTTGTCATAATACGTAATTAAAGTACTTATTTATAAAAAATTATTTAAAAATAAATTATGGGAATTTTAGTATTATCAATAGAAAAAAATTGATTTATTGTGAGTGAAAATAGAAAGAAGAAGATTGTGATTCATATCAAGAATGAAAAAAAGAACATAGGATAATGATAAGAAGAGTAAAGGCACTAAGAGCGTAGAGAGAACAAAGAATGAATTTTTTTTATCATGATATTGTAATTTTTTTTTTCATTTTTTATAAAGCATTTCATAGTTTCTATGTAATATTAGATTTTTTTTCACATATTAAAGGTTATGGGAATATGTATTTTTTACTAATGAATAATAAAAAAAGAATTTTAACAGTATTTAATAATCAATTCATTGAATTGATAATCCTTCTATTTTATTTTATTTTTGTTTGATGTTTACTGTTTTTTTCGCTCAATAGTGAATATTTTATAGACACATTATACACCAATGATTGTTGAGCAATATTATTTCCCACCAAGTTGTGACTAATAATAAACTATTTATATTAATGTGAGCATGTAGTTCAGATAATATTAAAATAAAATTATAATTATTTTATTGAAAGATGTAAACGACAATCAATTTGAATAATTATCCAGATAAACGATACATAAATGAAATGATAAAAGGCGTTTTCAACCCATCAACTGAATTAGTTTTATTGATATAAATAAAATTTGACTAAAAAGTGTTGTTAACTAAGAAAGAAGAATGCTTTGAAAAATCATTCCATGACATTCTTATAAGATATGGATAGTTTTTCTTAAAGTCAAGTTATTTATTTATTTTTAAATAAAAGGTAAAAAGATAAAATTAATTAATTATATTAAAACGAAATTTGTATTAACCGATTATACAATTACTTAATCGATTCATTTTTTATCTTATAAGTTAACAATTTATTATTTTGTCACTTAATCTATTATGTAATTACATGCTAATAATTTAATATTTAATTAATTATATAATTTTTTTTAGTCTATATATGAATAATCGATTAAATGTTCTGTTAATAAATTATCTTAATAAGTTTTAACAGATTTAAAAACTGGTTGTGATTCTGTAAAATATTTTGAAAAAAATCAAATTCAAAAAAGAGATTATTTGTGTATAAAATGTGATTTTCCAAAAGTTTAAGATAAAATTGTTATTGTTTTTCTTTTTTTTATAAATCTTTATTGTATTAATGTGAATTGAACTACATCAAATTAACTTAAAAATGATATAGATAAATATTTTTAAGTATTGTGATTTATTTTTAAATTTTGATTAAAGAGTTTTATAGTCAAGATATCTATTACTAAATAAGTTTTAAATGAAAAATTTAAACTAATTAAGATTGTTTGGAGGTAGATTCAAAAGAAACAAATCAGTATAAATTTCTGTATTTTTTTTTAATTTATCTTGATATTTTTTTTATCTATGCACTGTTTTAGTTCTTTTTAAATTTAATTATTACAAAAAGAAAAAAATTAAACAATTGATTAAATTCGAAAAGAATTTAAAAACTCAACGTTGGATATATTTAGATATTCATATTTTCCTATTTTCCTGACAAGTATTACCTCGGAGACTAAAAATAATATTCAATATTACTTTTTAATGTCAAAATTAATATATATATATATATATGTATATATATATATATATATATATATATATATATATATATAGTACTATACATAATTTAAACAAATAAAAAATGTTAAAAATGAATATAATATACTCTAAACTCCTAACACAACATAGAAAAAAATGCGAACAACAACAGAAGAGATGATGAATGTTATGAAGATTTATTCTTGCTTTGCTTTCTTCTCAGTGTTTGTCTCAATGAGAAGGTGCTTAAGATGGTGAAGGATGGTAGGGCTTGATTGAAGATGTTGAAGATTTGTGAATGTGTTGATGATTTGTGTTGGCACCAAGCACCTTTCCTCTCTGTATAACTTCTCTTCAACAAACGGAGACACAACCAGACCCCGTAGCGTTTCAACTCCTGCTTTCTCCTTCTCCTACAATTACCAAAACACTTTCATAACAAACTCATTCTCTATTTCTTCCTCTCAAACTCTTCACCATATTCTCTTCCTCTAATCGAATGCCCAGATCTCTCTAATGCAATAATCAGCAATTTCAACTTTGGTATTTACTAAACATTAATTTCAAACCGTGAAATAAATTCAAGTGAAATAAAACATACCATCATTTATGATCCGCATGATTCAAAATATGTCAAGGAATGTACAATT